TATATATATATGTAATGAGTATTAGTTTTAAATAACTTGATTGATTATAAGGCTACAAAAAATTTATAATCAATTAATATTAGTAATTAAAAAAACTTGAATACTTATATATTAAATTCTATTTTAATCAATATTTTAATATAAATAATAAAATTTAAATTTAGTCCCCCTTAAGATGGTGCGGGGCTATCAAAATAGTTTGTTGTTTGTGAACAACTCGTGCTCGACTAGCTAAACAAACGAGTCGAACACAGATAAATTTTTTGAGCTCAGTATATAAATGAGTCGAACACAAACCGTGATATTTTATATTGAGTCGAACTTGAATCGACCCCAAGCTTGCTCAAACTTGGCTTGTTTACACACCTAATAATACATAAGCAATTGTTATAAGGTTTATGCATAGGCTTTGATAATAAGAGTTCTAGTCTTTTAACTTTCATGGCATTTACCTTATGACTTATGATTGACAAACTGATCAGCATTATAATTTATAATTGACAAATTGATCAGTCTTATCGTTGTATACATCTCTAACAATTAATTGACAAAGGAACAAGATGAGATTCTAAAACTTGAAGTGTTAAGATGGAGCCCGATCCCTGTTTCCCGATCGTGAAAAATTGCCCGCCTCCTGATCGTGAAACATCGCGATCTTCTGCTGTCGCGAACCGCTCCCGCCTCCGCCTGCTCCCGCGAGCGCAAAGTGAAGCTTCGCTTTGTCCGATCGCGAATAGTCGCGACTTTCTGCTGTTTCGCAAAACATCGCCAAACTCCGCTTCCTGTTCGCGATAAAAGGCATCACAGCGGCCCTCCTTTAGCTTACGACACAGCCTTATGTGTTCTTCTTCAGTTTCCTCGGGATAGAGGAAGGTTTCCTTGGGATACAAGAAGGAAAGTGCAAGCAGTGGTTCTTTGCGGCAGAAGGAAGAAGAAAGAAGATAAAGAAGATTGTTCTTCCTTGACTTCTTCTTGGTGGCTTATGACAGACGAGAAATTGAGTTTATTTCTCTTATAAGTTTATCTTCTTCGATGTATCTCGGTATAGAGGAGAAGAAGAGAGAGCAACTAAGCGAGAGATTCCTCTTGTAAGTCGAGACTATCGACTGGTGTAAATTCCTCAAGTAATAAAATCATAAAATCATCTGCAACTCCGTTGCAACTCCGTGAACGTAGACAATTTGCCGAACCACGTAAATTTGTGTGTTCTGCTGTGTTACTATTTTCTTGTGTGAATTTTCTCGTCCTATTTTTCGCTTCGTCAAAGATCCCTCTCCTGTTTTTTTTCAATATATATACCACAACAACTGGTATATCTCTCAACATGAAAATCCTATAACAATTTAATCAATCATGGGATTAAGTCAATTAAGCTCTATAAAGCTTTCGTTATGACAAGTGCTATTATTTTGGGTTGGATAGCAAAGGACAATGCGAGTTGAAGGAAACTCCAATTATAGTGGAAGCACAACCTTAGCCTTACATGCTAGCACAATGAGTTTCTTAAGTGATAGTCCTGCAAGTCATCAAATAAACATACAATGTCTCATCTAGTTTCTTGTGTTATTTTGATTCGTTGGTCAATAAAAGCTTTTTAATATGGTTTATATTTTTTTTGTTTAAAGTCACCGCTAATTTGTATGTCCTCAAACAATAAATGATCATGTAGCCACAATATATCTAATATTGTTATAATAACCTATAAGTTTTGTTTTTATTAAAGACGTTATCATTTCGAGGGATAAAACAATAGGCAACATCAAAGTAGCAAATAATATGATACTTAAAATTTGATTCTTATTTGTGAGTACTTGGAGCACGCAATGGCAGTATACCTCCATCATTATCTTTTATCTCCCTTTCCTACTAGTTCCTCTAATTTGAAGCATGTCATCACCCTTGAATGATTCCAACCATCTCAACTTTTAATTTTAGGTGGTCTTCCTACCCCTCCCCCTTACAAGAAAAATTTACCTACGTAAAACGTATGCAAGGAGAGTATTCAGAGGTTATTGGTGTTATATCTGTGTTATAATCCATATAATCTCAGTGTAACCTACCCGTACCTTCTAGTAAGTTCCACGCTTCTATATTCATACATTTGTAGGTTACAGAGAAGTTACAAGAAATATAACACAAATATAATCCCCTAATACCCTCTGAATAACCTCCGTAATATTCCCCCTCCCCTGCTACCTCCAAGCCTTGATATCTAATGACTTTATTAAAAGCAGATTATCAAAAATGATTATTATAAATAATATTGCATCTAACGAATAGCCAATTCTACAAGCATACTCATCATTTTAATAGTTATAGAAAGGTTCACTGAATTCCTATATCTTTACGTATCTAACACCTAAACTTCACATTTTACATATAAGCCACATTACTAATGCTTGAAGAGATATATTTCACTTATAAAAGTTAAAATAGTAATATGCATAATGTGATATGTATGATTTGAGTGATATAAATGTTAAAAATAAGATTTAGTGTTTGATATGTAAATACATAAGCATTGTATGGTATGGTATGGTATGTATGTAAATGTCCCTCCCAACCAGAATAAATCATAAAAATTGAGGCAAACATTACAGCTTGATCCCCCTCAAAAAACTTTTGTGAGAAAAATTAAAGACCATGCTTATCATAAAACCCATATTCTACAATAAATTTCCCTCATCTGTCTCACACAACCAAAATAAAGGAGAACAAATATAACAGCTTTTTGCTTAATTACAAGTAGAGCCAAATAATGAAATAGGATGAACAATAAGCAAGAGCAGCACCATGAAGGTTATTATTGCCTTCATCATCCTCCCAATCCCTTTAGCCAGAACTGATACAGAACCAACATGAAGGTTATTGCCTTCATCATCTTCATGAGCTCCCAACTGGGAGTGGCCCCTTTTTGTCGAAGACCCGGGCACGCTTGGGCCTCCACTGTGTTCGTCCCCTCACAATCTCGTCGCCGCCCTCAAGCCGTAGAAGGTGCACACACTCCATTCTGGCAGCTTCAGACCCGCAGGAGCTGCTATCAACAGAGGTCAGAGACTTCAGCACACTGTCCCTTCCACACTCCCTTCTGTATTCAAGAGTCATTCCTGTAAGCTCATGGCTCTCCATGATGGAAGTTGGGGCACTCTGCAAAAAATTACCCCAAAAAAAAGAGAAAACTTTGGCTAAGAGATTTGCAGAATTAGTTCACTAAAGAAGAAGCAATCTGCTACTCCATGGGCCCCAAAACCATGCTAGCTTTTCTAAAGAAAATAAAAAGATGTCCAATCCACCAGTAATGCATGATTATAGTTATGGAAAGGTATGCTTTCAGATAATACTCCAGCCATGTGAAGTTGTTAAATTAGATGGATACAGAAAGAGACAACTTTAAGGAGCTATCAATAACTAAGGGCTTTTGCAGAATTGGAGACTAAGGAATGACAGCACGTGGTATTTGCTGGCTAGATTAGGGTCACATTTAAGACTGTAGCTGTTTGTAATAATAAGTTGTTGAAGGGAAAATGGTTTTTTTGAAACCTTGCTATTTATGAGGATTGAAAGTGTTTTTCTTCTCAAGAAAGTGGGACAACAACTTTCTTACACCTATCATATTCTAATTGTAAAAAGCTGGAAAAACTAGAAAAAGTCAAAATCTTGGGATCGAACATCAAATTTATGGATCAATACTCAACATCACCAAAAGAAAGGAATGAATAACAGCTCAGTCAAATTTCTTTACTCTTAAGAAAAATTAAAAATCTCAATTTAGCCACATAAATGAAGCTAGCCTTTCAATAAAAAGCTCTTGAATACCTTTATTAACGATTATAATCCATGTGACAAAAAATCATGCAAAGACAAATTTATTTTTAAACTAGTTAAAAGTAATAAAAATAAAGAAACATGAATAGTACAATTAGAGGTAAAAAAAGGAATACCTCAAGAATCCACCCAATATACTTGACATTGTTCACATGTTGATTCACATCCAGATCAGCCCAACGAGGCTGTAGTTTTTACCAAAAAAAAAAAAAAACATATATATGAAACATTTATGCATCAAACAGAACGAAAACTCAAAATCTTCAACTCACAGTTAAGCCTTCTTGCACATACTGCGCCGTGTCATCATCAAGCTTTGGTAGCTTTCTACTATCCTCATCTATAACAGCCATGCGCTCGATGAAGTAAGGACCTATTTCAGCCCTTACTTCATCTGGCATTTTAGACAGCTTTCTAGTCTGTTTATTCATCATGACCCAAACACTGAACAGAAATAACAGAAAAAATAAGGAACTTCAAGCAAGGAGTGGAGTCAGTATTTACATATCTAACAATTAAGCTTCAACTTTTATATGCATGCCGCCTTATCAAAGCATGAAAAGGCGTATTTCAATTTTTAAAAGTTAAAATTGAGGTATATTTATGTGATATAGAATATTTGGATGGTATAAATGTAGAAGGTAAAGTTTAGGTGTTAGATATGTAAATACATAGGAACTGGGCATGTATTAAATGTCCCATAAATAAAATGAAAAGAAGTAGGAAAATTTTGCCTATAAACAGAAGCTATTAAGCTGACCTTGTAGCTCTCACTATAGTTTCACCTGTTTGACAGTCAATGACATGCCAATCACGGCGCATCCCATTTTTCCCGGATGAACCAACCCAAGTATCCACCTGAACAACATCTGCCCTGCAACCACGATTTGAAATAGAACAAATATTATCATGACAGAGAAAAAAAATCAAAAATTAATTGGCATAACACCACCAAAAACATAAGATGAAAGGCATATTGCTACCTGGAAAAGAATATTAAGAATCAGGTGCAAGGATCGAATTGAACCATACCCACTAGCCGAACTAGCTTAGGGCTGAACCAAGCCACGGAAGCAATTGCAATCACGTGAAGCTTTGCCCTCATGTTCATGTAAATCACACAACCTCGTGCCCCTGCAGCCTCATTCCCTATTTTTTTACATAATCTCGCTCTATATCATTGCCATTGAGTCGGTATTCAAGGAGGAAGAGATCCAGGGTATTGCATTATCCTAGCAGCTACCAGGTCCCCTGGCCGAACAACAATCGTCGTCTTCTCCTTCCCCCATCATGAAACTCTTCCTGCTTGTCCTTCCTCTTAAATGGTGAGCATTCTTCCTCCCACCTTCCTTATTTTCTTATTTTCTTTCACAATATGATGATTTCATCATTTTTCTTCTCCATGCAAGTAAAAAAAAATTAATTTCATAAAAACTTAAACTAGACTTGCTAGTTTCCAATTTGTCTAATATTTATGTTAGATTAAGTTAGTTGAAATTGAATTTATTTAAGTATTAAAATTTTATGCATTTAATTTTTGTGATCATAGATTATAGATCTTTTAGTAGTACTTCAATAGAGTAGACCATATGTTCACGCATGTTTGATTCTTTAGTCGAATTTTAGATATTAAATTAAATTATATTAATATCTAACATCACGTGTTCCTATGAATCAGGCAAAATATATAACTATATATAATTCATGACTAGATTACCCTAAAAGAATTTCATATAGGGTTGTGAATTTAGCTTGAAGATCATTAATCACTCAAATATTGATTCGAATTTTAGCCAGGATCAAAATAAACGACCTGAGCTATGAGCCAAAAGTTTGGACTGATTTTTTCTCGAGCCAATTTCTATTTATTACATAAGAATTGGTTGGTATGTATGTAAATGCCCGTGTGTTTGGATATGTAAACACGTGTAAAGGCCCAAAAAATTCCACCCCCTCCCCCCTCGCCCCACTCTTTAAATGATATATAAATTTATAAGATATGGGTGGTATGTATGTACATTCCTGAAAACAAAATCCCATGTTTCGCACACGAGTCCCCACTACCTGGCTTTTAGTCCCACTTCGGGCATATGAATGTTATCATCATCGCTTAATTGTATAAAAAGGATGAAATTTTCAAAAATTATGTGGTGACGTGCACACGGCAGTGCTGAAAGCAGATAAGTTAACTTGAATTAAATTCTAGTATAACACACAAGCCTTAAATTCATTCAAACTGAACATAATTCAAAAATTATGTGGTGACGTGCACACGACAGTGCTGAAAGCAGATAAGTTAACTTGAATTAAATTATGATTGAACACAAGCCTTAAATTCATTCAAATTGAACATAAATATGTATTTTCGAGCCATTTTGAACAGAAACCGAAGACGAACAAATGTAAATTCAAATGAAATAACTCAATTTAAACCATCTTGTTTTGATTTCGAGTCGAATTGAGCCCATTTGGAGTTGGAACGGATCCAAATAACTCAAACTTGAGCCAGCTCGTTTTGATTTCAAGCCGGATCAAGCTTGATATCGAACATAATGAGCCACAAGCTGATTTCAATCCAAACTCAATATATTCAAGCCAGCCCTAGCTCGGCTCAAAATCGGCTTGTTAACAGCCCTAATTTCATGTGATATACCAATTTCAATGACGATAGAAACTATTCTACATAATGTTACAGCAAAACAAGCATAAAAAATAACAATTTAAATCTTGAAGATCAAAAAATGTAGAATAGGCTTAAATGCTTTCAATAACATCATTTGATAAGAATATGGTTGTAAACTAATAGAACAATTGTAAACCAGATTGAATTTAAGTTTGGTTTAAAAAAACACAAGTTGAAATGCAAACAAATGAAATATAAGTACAGCAAAGTATATAATATCTCGAATACATCTTGTTATTACAGAATGATGAACTATATAAGCAGCAAATTTAGAGCAGGAACATACCATGAAGGATACTTTTCCACAAAAACATGCATTTTAGCCACGACCCATATCAAATTTCTTTTAGACATTTCAGGTGTAGCCCCAAAGCCATCATCCATGAGGCCTGCAAACTTCACATGGTTGAGTGCTGTTTCCTACACTTTAATATAATTAAACATTAGGCTTACAGACTGATGAAAACACAAATATATACAAATCCTTCAAATCTCACCTGTAAATGATTCATTAACGTTTCTATAGAAGCTGTTCGATCCGCCCCAATCTCATATGACCTGATCGAAAAGTTTTGCCTGAAAGCAAGCCCATCCTGAACAATTTTACCCAGGCCAAATGCATCAGCAAGCATGTCTGGTCTCCGTGGCTTCCAGTCAAGTAGAGTCCACTGCTTCTCAGCGGCCAAGAAGATGGTTGTAATGGCTGCAAGGAGCATGCTCCAGTCCGGCAGTTGATTATAAAAAGTTCTCGGACCAGAAGGAGCATCTTCCTCAACCTTCTGAAACTCAGATTTCAAGCCAACCTTCGCTCCATTGAGCTGAGGAACGGCTTGGGTATTGACCTTAACCTGCATGGCACCCGAAGCTGTTGCAGGTTTTGCAACAATTCCTGCAACATTCAATGACTCTGGACCTTCACCGATAGTCTTTGAAGCCTTCAAAGACGCTGAAGAAGAAGATGGAGTCGGGAAAAAAGCTGAGGCGGCAATGGAAGCAACCATGGTGTCAATTGACTAATCTTCTTCAAACTTGTGAATTTAGTGCATATGATCACGATTACTCTGTAGAGGAGGTTGAATGAACAAAGAAAAAGTAATTAGCGACTCAAGGTTTCGAAATATCGATAAAGGAAACCCTAACTCTTCCAGCCAGATCCCAAAGATCTAACCTCTCCTACATAATTAAGAAAAAAATCTTATTTTTAAGAGGGAGAAAAAAAAATACGCATGCCCGCTGCCATGGCATCACCAGTACAGCCTCTCAACAAACAGAGCTTCGGAGCAAAAACTGGGTGATTTACAGCGAATCAAAAGAAACAAAATCACAACAAAAAATATTTACTAAATTAAGAAACAGCAATTAAAACGTAAAATGAAGAATAAAAAAATTTAAGATTACGGACAAACTTTGAAAAAAAATAAAAAATAAAAGAACAAAGCCACAGACCCATATCGACCAGCCAAATCGGCCGAAAACAAACAAGCAAACCCATATCGACCAGCCAAATCGGCCGATAAACAAATAAGTAAACCCCGCCTTCTCCCTCCAATTCCCACAGCAAAAGTGCAGCAAAAAGACCAGAGATAAGCTACACAAAACCAATCTTAGATCCACCCCAAAAACCAAACCCAAAGTAACAGAACAAAGATAAACATCGAAGCTTCGCACCTTGAAACTTATAATGAAGCTTCGCGCCTCGAAATATATAACAGCTTCCTGATGATTTACAGACACAGAGGGGATTATTTCGTTCAATTCGCCCTAGGGTTAGGGCTTACTAATCCAAACTAGAGCACAACAGCACGAAGAGGAGAAAGGTGGAGAATATGTTGAGAAAGTCGCCGGGTTAGTGGGGATTACTTTATAGCTCTGGCGGGCCTCCAACGTTCTACGAACAATTTCAGCTGATGACCAATATACCCTTTTCTTTTTTATTAATTAACCATTAAACCCTCCAATGGTTTACCTTATTCGTTGCAAAAGAAATTCAGTTTTGTTCATACTAGCTGGCATTTTTAGATTATTTTTAAAATCATTATAAGTCAGTGGCCCACACATACGTAGGAATATATATATATATATATAATATATATATATATAGGCAAATACCTAATACAGAGATTATATTAAGATGATGTTAATTTTATAACATGTATTCATGAAATCTAATGATAGTTTATTTTGATAATTTTATATAATCATACAATTTCTCGTATATTTCTATCATATTTATAATAGCATTAATGTTTTGTACCAAACTGTCCAACCACGAGCTAGCCCATCACACATTTTCAAGTCCTGAATTAGGGTTCTAAGGTCAACAAGAAGCAAACTTATACAAGTGATGAGAACAACGAAGAGAGCAAAATAGATGAGTGCCTTGGGAATGATGAGTTCATGCGAGTGAATGCAAATTTGCAAGCATGGACGTTGGCCGAAGCTTGCAAATGCGAGCAAGGAAGAGCTTCTAATTTGATGACTTCAATAACTTTTATAAATTCATTTGGAGAGAGTTGAAATAAGCAATAGTTTTTTCTTTCTACTCACACCACTTATCATCATCCTCTTCTTTTTCTTGAAACAACAAGTTAAATCTGAGCCCAAAAGTTTGACTTATTTATTTTTCATTGATTACAAGTGATTATAATACTTTATGAGTTTCATCAACTAAGTCTTTATTGGTGCTTCAATAGAAATTAAACCTAAATTCTATTATAATGTATTACTTGTCACGGAGTATATGCATTGGTATTTTTATTATATTTTTATTGTTTATAAATTTATTATAGAATGACATTATTTAATTATCATACTTTGCAAGATTATGTTGGTATGATCTGTTATTTTGTTTTGCCTTCATTTGTTATTGAACAAAATCTCGGACATTGAGTTGTTCCCATTAGTTATGATAAACACTTACATGCAAGAATGCGATAGATTTTATTGTGCAAATCTATGCTTGATATATGCATAACTATTGTCATTTTTGTGATAATGCTTACAAATCATTTCCCTATAATATTTGGAATGTGTGTTTTTAATATAATAATGTATATGCCAGTATAATGTCCCTTTGAATGTTGTTTAGTTAGAGTGATAACTCTATAAAAAATAATTAGATTTTTTTGCCGTGTGTATATTCATTTAATTTCCAACATAGTAAACCGATTATTCATATGCATACACATAATAAAAGAGATTAAATGATCATTACTCTAATAATAAAAAATAATTATTAGAGTAATTCCAATTTGAAATGCATTCTTTTATATATTATCCATAATTGTTATAATATAACATTTGATGTTATTTGTATCATTTTTTTATTATATTTATGTCCTACGTCTGGCTATTTATATAGTTGTTTTGTGGAGTTTCACCTCCTAAGTTTATTTTTTGCGAACTCATATCTTCTGTTTTCTGAAGTTCAGGTTGCTAGTTATCTATAATTTATACGAGCTTTTAGGCTCATGCTTCCAATAGCAATGTAGATATTTAAGATCATTGTTTAATTGATTTAATAATGTAGCATGTGTCATTTGGATTTCAGTAGATATCTTAAAAGATATATTTTTTTTTATTTAGATGTTATGATGATCTCACTGTAATCATATTTATATTGATTTAAATTATTTTTTAATTTTTAATTCATGCACTTCTATTGGGTTTTTAGTGAATTTATTTATGTCATTCAGATTTAGGGTGTGACATCATGTATATCTATAACATTTAAGATTTTAATTATGTTTGTCTTATGTTACATAAATATTAATGTGTGCTAGAGAAATCATCAGGGTAGAGTGATGAATTGTCTTAGCGTCGCATGAAAATCCAACACACTCGAATAATAAAGTTACGAGTAGAGACATCATAAGTTTTTACGTGATATGATTCATTTTGAGTTAGTGATTAGACCATTTAATCTGATTCATTATGAGTTAGTGATTACACATACAAACACATGTCCTAAAGGCAGTAATATATTACAAAGCTCCTTGAATTATAATGGTTGCGTGTAGAAGGGTCGGTTGCCCTACGATCAAGAGTTGTTATAGTAGAGAGCAGTTATCAAAGCTTCAGTATATCGTCTTTAAGGAACATCGTTGCACCCGTCTTTGAGGTGCAGCATTGCACGATGTTCTAGATGATGAACTACAATTTCAGCCCTCAAATAATCTCCAGCACATAAATAATCCCTAGCCTTTCACCATATCGGGGATGGACCTCCCAGGACCGGTTCTCCCCATGAAAGGGATAATGAAAGTATATTCTAGGATCCTGTATAGTTTGTGATTACCTATAATCCTTCAAAAGACTATATATTGTAGAGAGCATGCCAGAGAGAGGGGGTTGGATGGGATTCTTTTGGACTAATCTTATGAAATACGTTAATTCTCATTCCTCAGATAAGCCTAAAAAGAGGTGCCTCCTTGAAGGTTCCTCCCATTACTTGATGAAAAACTTGTGATGTAGATGTTAAGTATTGTCAATTAATATCACATATTGTTGATTCGGCTATCTTCTCCATCTAGTTAAAAGAACTGGATCCATAGTGTCGAGCGACATCTTTAATAAGTGATTAACGAACATCCTTATCGACTATAATGACTCCTCATATCATTAACTTTGCACATATGGGCTATGCTGTCTTCTTGAAAAAGATAATGTTGACTTGATTAGTCACTCTAGTAGGTGGGCTTTATTCAAACTGCTTCGACAGATGAGCCCCACTCAGCCACTCTGATAAATGGACTTAATTTTGAAAAAAAATTTTGAAAATTTTTGTAAAACCGTGTGTGTATAGAGAGAGAGAGAGAGAGAGAGAGAGATATATATATAGATGATAATAATGTTTATTTGATAAGTCCAGCCGCCTTCGGCGCCCGACGAGTCTGACTGCATGCAAGCCCAGAATCCACGAGATGACGAAGGGCAACTTGGGGAAAGCAGCCACATGGGTCCCGTTCGCAAATTTCATTCTATAAGGAGGGCTTTTTCGGCATTCAAAAATTTCAATACAAACCCGCACAGTCGGCTCGCAATCATCATTACATCGAGACTGAGTTACGCTCACCGCCCGGTGAGTTTTTGATCCATGTGCCACTGGGAGTGCTTCTCGTACGGCGTTGTCGTATCGCTATTTATCTTAATATTAAATTTAAAAAGAAAATTCATGCATTTTTAATACTTTAAAATAAATTTGTGGCTGAAATGTTAGCTTTGGCGCATTTGTGAACGACCTTTTTTTGAAAATTATATGTTTTTTATTTTTTCTGTTTTGGTTTAGGGTAAACTACTTAGGGTCATAGCGATAAATAATATAAATAAAAATTATAGGTGGTTTCTTTGGCTTTTTGGCTACTGCTATTTAAGTGCGCTTGTTCTTGGGAAGGATGCTAAGGTGGAAATAATAAATAGGTTGGTTTGTTAAACACCCCATTAACGAGGAGTTTAACTTATCTATGAATTTATTTGTAATTTGTATCATCAAATATGAATTTCAATATTTTTTTTTTGAATTATAAACATTTAAATTTAAATTCAAAATCATCGGAGCATCATTTTGAATAAATTTATAATCAAATTTAATGTCCCTATAAGACAGAATCTAATTTTACTTAAAATAAATATGTCCAAATTCATTCGAGTCTGGATCAAACATTTAAATTTCAAATTTGACATATTTATAGTTAAATCTAACGTCGCACGAGATAAATCTAACAGTTCTAAGTCATTCGATTCCACGGTTATTAAGGCACTTGAATATTAAGAAAATGATTTATAATAAAAAGAATCAACACATAACATCTGATAATTTGATTTGAGAAGTTATGCCAAAATGACCAAAATGCTTCTCTCATAAATTATTAATAAACCCCCATTTTTTCATTAGGGAGAGAAGATTGTGATCTTACTTGAGCTTAACAGATGAAGTCATAGTGGTTGTCGTTGATCATCAAAGTTCATCATCTACCACCAGAGGTTGTTGTTGACCACTAAAAGTCGTCACCAATCACAACAGGTAGCCATCGACAACCAGATATCATCTTCAACCCTCAAAGATCATCATCAACCACTCGAAATCATTGTCATCCATCTCTAACAGCTTATGTTGCCCAATTACTATTTTCTAGCAGCTGTTGTCAAATGTATACGCTATATTCACACATTTTCCACTAAGAAAGAAGGGTGTCACTCGATAATAAAAATTATATAGTGGATTAGTTTAGCAGAGTCAAGACCTGCAATTTTTCCATTTTAAGATTCTCCACATAAATTTTTTTTGTATCTCTTCCCTCAACTTTTATTTTATCCGCGTGCATTTTGAAATCTCGTTCAATACTGAAATGCTAAATCATCGCTCAACCATCATTAATTTTAAGGCATGCAACATGAATAATAAATACTAAAGCATAATTAAAATTTAGATAAATCATATTAAATTCAAACATATGTGGATAAATGTGAACATTCAATTAATAACCCCTTATTATATCATTTTTTTATTTAAGTACTAATCAATTCTATTAGTGTTTCTTGACCTATAAGAAGGCACCAATGAGAGTTACATAACTCACACTAGAGGTGTAACTTAACCAAGCGGACTTGATGAATTGAGTCAGCTCAAGCTTTGCTTGTTACCTTTTGTGAGTGTGACATATAAAAAATATATATATAAAATGCCCTTACAAATATATTAAAATCGAAGTTTAAGAAGACATCGATAAAGTTATATAAAATGCACTAATAAGCCGATTAACCTTTTGGATGACAGTAAAGAGGGTTATAAACCTCGAACTAGAGGTTTAATTTAGCCAAGC